GGGGGGGGGGCCTGGCCGGCTTCAGCGATCGCTCCCCCCTCCCGGCTGGGCTGACAACCGGCTGTAGCCTCGACGGATCTGGAAGGGGATGGATCGTCCCCATCTAGGGCTCTGACAACTGATGCATCAACCCAGACGGCTCCTTTAGAAACCTGTCACGATGACGCCTACCACGCACATCAAACTGACTAGGAACTACTGTATTTAAAAACATACCATAGCAGAGATCACACATGGATCATTCTCCCTGAAGAAGAGACATTTCGGAAACACGTTGCTTTTATTCATCTTCACACAGGATCTCATTAATCAGCTCTTGCGTTATAGCATCACCACTCGCAACAGATGCTTCAGCAACCCAAAACCTTTGAGAAGTTTGGCCACAGACACAAGCTCTAGCCTCAGGTGGACACATCAGATGCAATTTCTATTTCTGATCAGCTGGGCATACGCAGAGCCCACACCAAAGCCTGCTTAATACCGAGTACTTCATCTCAAGTTATTGTTAACAAAGTCCTGTTCAAATACAAGAAAAAAAAGCTCTGTATAAGATCACACTGCATGTCCTTCCCAAATACTTGACAAGGAGATGGGGAGAAGAGGAGGAAACGGTTACTTACCCTTGGAGAACACTTCTCCGGTCATCTAAGAAATCAGCTCTGCAGTCCCAGGAAGCTTCAACAAGGGGAATGTGTGATATTTTCCTGGGAGGCCCAGGGACTGAGATAGCCTACACGTAGAAACCAGCCAGGCTCAGCAGGCCCGGGTAAGGAAAGGCTTTGCTCAGCCATCATTCATTCTCAGGGATTAATGTCACACCCCCTCGAGAGCCAAACAGGTCCTCGCACCCCTCTTACTCCTGCAGTACAGCTGCTCCACCAGCACAGCTGTGGATCACATCTTGCCCGTTCCTTCGTGCCCAGCATCTCTGGTGGCTCCGGGCTCTCCCCATCGATGCAGAAGATCAAGGGAATTCAGGCCATCCAAAATCAGCACTTGGCCTCCTCGGGTTTTTCTTTTTTGGACAGATGAGACTGCAATTGCAAGACAAATACGCGCTGTGGCCTGTCAGCGAACAAGATTTGGGCTAGTCTGAGGAGTCAGGTGGAAGAGACTTACACCAACGGTGCTAATAGCAGGTCTGAGCCTCACTGAAACGGAACAAGCCTTGTGCGGTGACGGGAACAGGGCGAGCAGCCTCTCCTTATCACTGCGGTGCCTACGTTTGTGCTGGGAATACGACAGGGAAGGGACGCACCAACTGAACTTGACCTGCGGAAATGGCATCCCGAATCCTCCCTGCGATTTCAGCCACAGGCAAGAAGAAACCTTGACTTTGAACACCCCTTTCCCTTCAGTTGAGAGCCTTGATAACAGCAAGCATTCAGAGGGGAGTAACCATCCCACACGTCAAGGAGTTTAAAGGCAGATTCAGAGACATAATCTTCCTGAGAAATTACCAGTCACACGAGGGGGGGGTGTGGGGGGTGTGAAGAAATTGAGGTCCAGGCTCAGCAAAGCATAAAGACTCTGGAAGGAAAAGCACAGCTAACAACAATATTATCTTTAACGATGATCTTGCATCAATGGTTTCTCATCTAGCATTTTTAAAACTTCTTGATATAGGAGGCAGAATTTAACTTATAAATGAACCTTTTAAAAAGAGACACCCAGACGATTTAACTGGTGTCTTTTCCCCTCTGATATTCGCAGGTATTTTAGAATCTGCTGTCACTCCAAGGACATCAGCTGCATACAAGCCCACATCCACCGTTACCCCTCAGCACATGCCTAGCGCTCCCCGCTGGGTCTTGATCAGGCATCTGCCTTGGGAAGGTGGAACTGGAAGCCCAGGTGCTTCCCACGACTTCAGCCTCCGGAGGCTGAAGTGAGCACCAGGGCAGCTAACAGAGCCCAGCAGCGGCTCCCGGCACTTCAAGGCGTGTGTGCCATGGCTATGCGATGAAATGGGCTCTCCAAAAGAACAGCATCGGTTCCCACTGCAGGAGAGGTTGGGTCTCTGGTCTACCTTGCACTTAGCCCACGTGGGACCCCGACACCACACGTTCCTCTAGTTATTACGATTATCAGCGCTTTCTCTCTGGCCGGAGCTATGACACAGCACAGAGAACTTAAGCATCAGTAGGACAGGAGCAGAAAGCAGATCCCAGTATGCAGGCTGTAGCATTGCCCGGAGTAGGGTCCTAGGGGCTTTTTGGAAGGCTGGCTTTTATACGCGAGACGTTAAGGTCAAATACAAGAAGCACTACAACAGGGATATGTATATACTCAAGTACTTCACCACATCACGGAAATACATTTATTCCTTTCACAGATTAAAGATGGCTGTTAAACATCAGATGCATACCTAAGAGTTGGCTTTCTGGATCTGCCTTGCAGTTAAGAAAATTTCTATAAGCAACACTAAATAGAAATGAAACTTGCATCTGGGAAGTTTTGAAGAGCTGAATGCGGAAAAGTGAGGAGAAAAGGCAGACTGAGGCAGAATCTCTTCTTCTAGAAAGTTACTGACGTTGATAGAGCCCACAGCAAGATAAGGAGTTCAGCAAGGTAAAGAAAAGCTGACCTAAGAGCGGACCGTATGTTATTAGCCAGAATAGCGGTCAGAAGTAAAATTCAGGGAAGAGCCAAAGGTGATGCTGTTCAGTGAAACCAAGAACTTCAGCTGATGCAAACAAGGAGATAAGACAGCTGCAGGAGACAGATCCCCTCTTCTTTCAGCAAAGAAGCCTTAAAACTGACATTGTACTCTGGTGTTTCTAAACACTGAAACAGTGCTACAGCATACTGAAATGTCTCCTTCCCCATCAGTCTTTGTCACAGCTGAAACTATTCCAGTTTCAAAACCAAACCTGTGGCTGACTTTATGACCGACTCAGCTAAGCATACAGTTGCTTTTTTGTTTCTCATCAGGCTAGCCCCAATATCTAAGTAAATTTCAGTTTGACTTTTAGCTCGTTTTTTCCCTCTGGACTGGCTATTATTTTCTGTTATACATAATATATCGAGTGGAAGAGCAGGGAAGTTAGCTGCTGTGAGCATCCACTTAATTCCCCAGGCAATACGTGTTCCTTGTTCCTGTTGAGGAAGGACTGCAGGAGTATTATTGCACTTTCCCAGAAAACTCCACACATTCAGACTGAGAGCCAACACACAGAGCTACCACGTTCTCAGTACTCACTCCTGGCGTGGTTTAACCTCAGTCGGCAGCTCAACTCCCAAGAGAAGAGACGGAGGGAAGAGCAAGGGAACAGGCAAGACAGACTCTCTGATGACAAGAGTTTTGCACTGGGCCGGCTGTTACTCAGTAGTGCTTTGAGCATACCTTGTCTGGATTTGTTTCCTCCTCAAGAAGCCTCTTTCATTTCAGAACTCATACAATTCTGAATTAAGCTTCCCACTCCAAGATAAACTCACCAACGTTGATCCCTTCAGCTGTTAAGATTTGATATACGGTGTGTAGGTGGAAGAGGGGAGGAGTCCATCTGCAGCCGAAATACGATTTGCATTTTATGCAAATACAGAAAAAAGTTAAAGAACTGAATTTTAAGCATCATTTGTCAACTCCAGCCTGCATTCTTTTTGCAACAGAAGAACCCATTTTATCCCCGTCGCTGTCTGAGCCTGGAATGCGTGAAAGCTCCTTCCCAAACCACACAAACCATCTCACCAAAACGATAAGTGGTCAGCTCACACTACCATGAGACGCTCAAGCCAGTCTCAGCTGCTCTAGTTTGAAGTGTTACTCGAACTTGTCTTTTCAAAAACAGACTGACCACAAACGGTTTGTTAGTGTTACAACAATTTTTTTTCTACGGAAATAGCTGCAGTTTTGCTTCATTGCTAAACAGCAAGATACAGTCTTAAAAAGAAAAAAAAGACACGAACACAGGAATCCAAAGCCGGTGGTTATTTTTTACTTGAAGACTCTCTGAAACATTAAAAAAAGTACTGTTACAGTTAATTAATTCCTTCTGGAATTAAATTGGACACGGTCTGTCAAGGTGATGACATGGAAAGGGCAGTTCGACTTTTACAAAACTGATATTCAAGCATCATCAACACACAAAAAGGACAGGCTCTGACGCACGTTTGTCACATTGCAACCTTCACTCAGCCTCAGTAAACATCTTTGGAATACAGATTTTAAAAAGAAGTATCAAGAAACTTAAATATTCACAGGACAAAACCATAACATTATTAAAAATATGAACAGTAAGATTTACAGAGATCAGCAAACACAGGCAGCCTATGGATAATCAAAACAGAACTTGCAGAAGTCACACTGATCACAAGCGTAGGTCTGCCACACAGAGCTTGGATTCCAGCAACTTGGAACACTTAGGACTAAGAGGCGGTTTTGGAATTTGGTTACTTGCCTAAGGTAGGGAGGCAGTAAGAGAAGGTAGGTGTGCAGAAGGCAAAGGCAAGGTAAATTAGCGCTCGAAGTTCTTGTTAAACCAGGAGTCTAGATGTACAGCAAAAAAAAAAAAGGTTGTTTGTTCTTTTAAAATTAGAAGTTAGCCAAAAGTTATCAGTATATACTTTCTATATTGCACAAACAGTTTTAAAGCAACTGAAAAATTAGAAAACCCTGCATTTATAACAGCTACATTTAAATATATTCCGAGTGGAGTTAGCCCATATAGTTCAGCTTTTAAAACAATTCAACACTTTTTCCTAGAACAGCATACAGCATTTCCGTGTCCCCCGTCTTCTCAAGCCCTCTCCAAACTAAAGAAATACACCATTTATCAGAGACAGTGCTACTAGGTCTCCTTAGTATATCACAAATTTATTGCTTTATCTTACTAGTGACAAAGGCTAAGATCTAAACTTTTAGAGAATTTAAGGCAATCCTGCAAGACCAACACCTTAAGGGCATTTACGGCACACAGTGGTCTTTATTCAAACACCAGGAAAAGTTTGATATTTAAAAGTGACAGGAACACTCAGATTTTAACCAAAAGGACCCTTTCGAGCATCAGTTACTATCTTCCTAACACATAACCCAGCACTGAAGTCGTAAGTCATTCCAGAGCACCGATGTTCAGAAAAAGAAAACAGAAAGAAAGTCAAAGGAGGAAGTTCCAGGACATGTTAGGTAACAACTCATTCTTACTCATCCAAGAACTTGTTGGGAGATTCACTCAGGTATTTGGATAGCTGAATCACTTTGTTCCGTTCATAACACGGAGAATGAATTATGACCTACCAGGTACACTTAAAACACAACTTAAAGAAGCATTCAAGACTGACAAAAACCATGGCGTATTCCTAACAGCTTTACAAGCTGATTCACCTGCAAGACCTCTGAATATTGTCTTTCCCACTATTTCTTTCATATCCCACAGAGTTCGTTATGAGCTCCTTGTCTGATGCTCTGTCTTCTTAATAATCACTAGGAGAGCCTGGCTTTAGAGAGCCAGGCTGCAGTGAAAGTATCAGAGAGCATTTCTACGTTTGTCGTCTTAATTACTCACGACCAAGTGTACTATCGACATGGATTTATCAACTGCCAGTTCTGCAAACCCACTCAGGTGACTTAAAAAAAAAAAACTAAACCCAAACACAAACAAAAACCCCAAAACAAAACAAAAAAAACCCAGAAAGAACAGGCTTGTCAAAAAAACCTAAGCGTGCTCAGCATTAGGCTAACCCTTCCTTGGCAAATACTTTGGAAATTAACTGAAAGAGCATGAAAAATTCTTTACAAGCGATGCAAGATAACACTGGTCCAACGCACATGTGCATTCTTTTTATTTCTACACAGAGTGAAAACAAATTCCATACAGAAAACAGTAGACTACAGTTTTTTAAAGAAAGAATTAGGGTATATTGTTTCAAGATGGTTTTGTGAAAACAGAAAAGATTACTTTCTGTAAAAGAAATTAAAAAGCAGTTATTTCAACTTCAGACCAGGTACAGCCTGACTGGATTTGCAGTAAAATTTGATTAAGCAGAAATTACTGATGATGTATTAAAAAAAGAGCAGAGTCCTACTGCCATACAGCAGGAAGAATGGATAGGATTTGGACTCAGCAGAGAACCCCGCCTGTAAACTATTCCCATCTGAATCAGAGTCATTGGGACAAACGAGACTTCATGGTGCTACTTGAAAATTTTTCTAGAGAAGAATTACTCCGCCAAGAAGCTCATGTAGTTTTCTACAGCCTTTTCTAAGAGAAATCAATGCAAATAGCAGGTTTCTGGTCAGCCAGAGAATCCATGCTACACAGATTCTCTTGTAAGAGGTAACTTCCATCTGGGAGGATGGCAAAGACAAGCTCTCTAGCTTTTGTTCAGAGGGCAACTTCTGTTCCTCTAAAAGAAGACAGCAACTTTCATCTCTTTGGAAGAAGAAAGATTGAGGGGTCTGTAGCACTCATTGTCATAGCAGAAAGCAGTTTTTGTCACATAAAAAGCCTGGAACATGGCCCATAACTGAAGGAACTTCTCCCCTCAGCACTTCTTCAGAGCACAACTACGTAGATTTATACCGAGAAACCTTTTCGAATGCTTCAACAGCAAACAGGTTAGTGCATTTTCCTTGCTAATGTTCCCTAATGCAACAAGTACACTGGTTTACATTCTGTTAAAAAAAAAATCCCTATAGAACAAGTCATTCAAGAAGCCACATAAATTATTTCTCGACACTTCTCTGCACACAGACAGGAGAAGTTTCAGCCATTTGCAACAGCATGTTTTAGTTTTGAATACCTGATACAAAGATGCTTCCCCCCCCCTCTGAATTTGTGAAATGCATCCATATTACCATGACAGGAGTCATTCTTCTCTTCAAGCTGAAGGATTTGACATTTAGCTCCTTTTGAGTCGGTGACTCAAGCACTAATCCTGCATGCAAATAAAGCTAAGATTTATCTGTTGTAGCAGCAGTGTTCACTGGGCGCTGCCTTACAGAATTCGGTGACGAGTTTCTGTTGGACACGTCTTTACCCTCCGTTTCATCATCTGAGATATCTTCCTCATCTGCTTCTTGCTCTTCATCCAGCTTTTTCAACAGCTGAGCTGACTCTGGAGCTAGCTTTCCTTAAGGAGAAAGGACAACACACATACACAAATAAATACCATTACCATGTGAAATACACTTTTTTTAACATCACGGGCTAGCACAGAATTTTAATAACTTTAATCCAGGGAGCACTTTCCAGTATCAGTCACTTAAGCTGCCACCTTAGGTAGAGTTGTTGCTAGCATGAAGTTACCCACAGGTCAAGTATTAACAGATTACAGGCTACCTAGACAAGGTAATATAAAACTTCCTCCAGCTTTGAAAAAAGTGAGCCAGGTTCCTACAAACCATAAATCAGCATTCAGATCTTCTTGCATGACTTTTTAAGATTACCTTGAAAAATTCCAGAGACTAACCCCAAACTGAATCACTTACTATCCACAGAGACGCAAATTCACTTTCAATCCTCACTTTCCCCCAAAAACTTTTGCAAACCCCCAGCTTAGCAACACTGAGAGCTCCACTCAAACCTTTTACCCTTATCTGCCTGAACATATGGAATTTCATATCTTGCAGGTATGAAAATGCTGTAAAAACATTTTTCTATCTCCTAAGAAGTTTTTTAAAAATAGTTTAGCTTTAGCTAAATTCAAAATACAAACCCACTAGAAACCCTAAGGGCAAACAGCTGCAGGTAAAGCAAAGCATCAATCACAGGTGTAAACTTCTACACTAAATCTCATGTCCTGCAGACACAAGTTACATACCAGTATTTATTAAGTAAGATTTACCAAACAGCTTCACTGAATTAGAAGTAAACAGTGGGCTTACTTGAATGAGGGTACTGTGGCGGTCTGTGCCTTTTGGATGGACAGATACAGTCTGCTAAGAACACCATTATCTGAAACCAAAGACAGACAAGTTTAAACCTCCAAACATCCTGCACATTAGAATCACAGAATCATTTAGGTTGGAAAAGACCTCTAAGATCATCGAGCCCAACCATTAACCTAACACTGCCAAGTCCACCACTAAACCATGTCCCTAAGTGCCATGTCTACACGTCTTTTAAATACCTCCAGGGATA